TGACTCAAGGAGAGATGGAGGGTTTTATGAGTTGTCACAGGTCCTCTAAGGTTCTAAGGATAGTGATACTATGCTGGACTGAGCCTAGACCCTGCCACCCTGTCCTCGGGAACTACTGAGGCAGCAGACTGGGAGTAATAGAGGGTAACTTTCCTTCCACTTAAAAGCTCAAGGAGAGCAGGTTTGGGAAAAGTGGAATCCAGACCCATCTCTTAACTGTGCATCCTGTCAGGCAGCTGTGCTAGGAAGATGTGATGAGGAATCCTTGGTTAAGTGGGACTGTGCCTTTAAGAGAAAGGATGACACACTTAGGGAAGAGCTGACCCTGTTGAGTACTGTTGAGTCGGTTCTGACCCATAGCGATCCAGTATAGGGTTTCTGAGGAGCCAACGTTGCAGTTCAAACTGACTTTGCAGTCCAGTGCTTTAACCCACAATGCCACAACTGGGTGCCCCTAAATGCTGACAGGTCTAAGTACATATGTGAGTGCTCTGAGGCCCAGCAACATGTGCACCCCACACACACACACACACACACTTATTCACAGGCACACACCACACACATAGGCACATGCCCCCAAACCAAACTAAAGCCACTGACATCTAGCTGATTTCAACTCATATCAACCCTCTTTAGCATTTCCAACACTACAAATATGGATAGCCTCATCTTTCTCCCAAGGAGCTTGGGTAGCTTAGTGCTTACGAGTCGGGCTGCTAACCTCACTGTCAGCAGTGCGAAACTACCAGCAGTTCCGCAAAAGAAAGATAAGGCTTTCTGCTCCAGTAAAGATTTTCAGCCGCAGAAACCCTGTACAGGGTCACTATGAGTCGGAACTGACTCCACGACACACCACCACCACCACCATCTCTGGTGGGTTTGAGCTTCAACCTTGCAGTTAGCAGCCCAATGCCTAGCCCACAGTGCCACCAAGGCTACTCTGGCACATGACATATGCACATATTCACTCGGATACATGGGTTCTCACATACATACAAAAGCACAGATACTCACAGCCAAACACAAACAGGCACATACCCACACACAGACACATTCACCCACTATGCACTTCTGATGTGTGGATTTCAACTTAGCAAGCCTATAGACAGAGTAGAACTGCTCCTAGACTGTCTTCCAATGGAGAATCAATGGGTTCAAACCATTTACCTTTTGGTTAGCAGCCCAACACTTAACCCACTGCACCACCAGGGCTCCTTTATGTAGGCACACACAAACAGGTAAACGCATAGCAGCAACACGCGTGTTATACAGGAGCATACACAGGTACAGACACACAAATTTACATACCCATGGGTTAATGCGCCAGACTGCAAAGCCGTTTGAACTGCAAGGTCGGCGGTTCAACAACTCAGAAACCCTTATACTGGGTCGCTATGGGTTGGAACCGACTCTATGGCACTTAACAACAACAACAACACAGAGCTCCTGGTGTGGTGCTGTCAGGTAATGCACTGGACTGCAAGGTCGGTTTAAACTTCCAAGTCGGCGGTTCAAGCTCACCAGTTGCTCCTTGGGAACCCTATACAGGGTCGCTAAAAGTCGGAACCGATTCGACTTAAACAATAACACAGGTACATGGAGTCCTGGTGTGGCGCTGTAGGATAAGCACTGGACTGCTAACCACAAGGTTAGTAGTTCAAACCTACCAATCGCTCTTCGAAACCCCAATACAGGGTCACTATGAGGCAGAACAAACAAGGGCACTTAACAATAACAACAACACAGATATATCTGCATACGCACAAGTTCCTGCGCGTTCGCGGGCTCGCGGGCGCGCACATACAAACAGATACACACATTCGGGTAACGCAAACACCAGCCGCCCAGGATATTTGAGAAGGTTCTCTCCAGCTACCCTTTGTTATTGACCCTGGCCTGCAGCCAGGACCCACCCCCTGCACCGCCCCCAATTAGTAGTATAAAATCCCTGCTTCCACCGCCCAGCACACCACTGACAGGAGCACTGCTGTCCACCATTTCCGCAGGCAGACCCACCAGGACCTAAACAGGAGCAGCATGGGTAAGAAGGGCTTCTGCCAGGAACCCACTAATCCATCGCCCCCCCACAACCTTGACCTACCTACCCCTAATTTGGAGGGACCACCCTGCAGGAAATCATTTGAAAATTCCAAGTGTGGATGAGGGTGGGAACTCTGGCTCAGCTTCCCTGTTCCCACACTACCTCCAATTCTTGCACTTCTCAGTTTGGCCAAAGTTTCTGGACGAACTTGTTCTTTTTCAACACCCTGCTGAGAATCAGCATTTTCATTCCAGATACTCGAATCAGAATCTACATTTTAACAAGATCCCCTTGTGCTTCTTATGTATACACCTATAAGAAATCTCGATTTCAGCTCAGGACTAACTTCTTATTCCAGGGAATAGGGTCACCCAGATCATTCTGAGAGAGAAATCAGGGACCCTGCTGGAGTGATATAACCTGAGGGGGATAGTGTCTGCTTTCAGTTTCCCATCCTCTTAGCCCCTCATCATCCTATTCTCCCATCTGTGGGCTCCTGGATTTTAGACTGAGCAGGAATTTGGGTTTGGGAATGTTGAGGTTTTTAACCTCTTTGAGTTGGCCCCTCCTTGAGCTGGCAGAATGCTGAGCAATCAGCCTGGGGCTGAGAAAGCCCAACTGAGCTCTGTCTGCAGTTCTTAAGTCAGACAAGACTGGTGCTAGGACAAAGTGATGTTAGAAAGAGCAGGGATGGAAAGATACTGCTGGCTTTGTTTTATTTTATTTTTATGTCTGTCATGATAGTTTGGAGTTCTTAGATCTCTCTTGCCTTCTGTGTCCAGAAACCTCCTTCCCCTCCCCGTCACCTCCTGTGCCAAGCCCTGTCACAGCTTTGCTGAATAGCTTTTTATTGGCTTTTGGACCAGACCTCTCTCGCACACTGCCCCACCCCACCTGCAGCCCTTTCTCTGTGCACCAACCACAGCCTGGCATCCTTCCCTCCCCTTCTGGCACAATCCTACCCATATTTATACAACACTTTTCCTTTATGAACGTGCTATTGAAAACACATTCTTATTTGATTTTCACATCCACTTAGAGAAGTAGGTTGTTGTTGTTAGTTGTGGTTGAGTAGATTCCAACTGAGGGTGACCCTGTGTGTACAGAACAGAACTGCTTCAGGTTTTCAAGGCTGTGACCTTTGGCAGCAGATTGTTAGGACTGTCTTCCAAGTGCTTCTGGCTGTTTCTGCTAGTAATAGAGCCTACACAACATCCAGACTCCAGGAGAATTAGCTTAATGTTGCTGTTAGTTGGTAGAGTCAGTATAGTATTGTTGTTGTTATTAAGTGCCATCAAGTCAGTTCCAACTCATAGCAACCCTGTATAGGGTTTCCAAGGAGTGGCTGGTGAGTTTGAACTGCTGACTTTGTGGTTCAAACCAACCTTGCCATTCTAGTGCTTTGTCCCACAGCGCCATACCAAGACTCCCAGGATAGCATTATTTCCCTTTGCATCTGAAGGAGCCCTGGTGGCACAGTGGGATAAGCATTGGGCTGCTAACTAACAGGTCAGCAGTTTGAACCCACCAGCAGCTCTTCAGGAGCAAGATGAGGCCATCTGTGTCTGTAAAGACTATAGTAGAAACCCTAGGGAACTGTTCCAATTTGTCCTATAAGGTCACTGTGAATTGTAATCCGCATGGCAGCAGTGGATGAGTTGGTTGGCTTTTTGGTTTTTAGCCTGAGGAAGAGAAAATGGAGAGAGTAGGAGTCAAACCTGGAACTTAAACTCAGGTCTGCAGAGCTCAGAAACATGGCTGCTTCCTAAGTCATTTGGCTACAGAGCAAGGAGTGCTGGCTCCTGGCCAAGGGCCCAAGCCCAGGCAACAGTGGAGGTGCCAACTGTGGCTACTCCTGTCTCCTCGCTTACATGGCTCCAGCTGTCAGGGCGGTGGCCAAACTGGCCGCTGGCAGAGCAAGGGAAGTGTGTCCTGTCCTGTGATCTCCACTCCAGGATTTCCAGCAGCCTGCAGCTCCCTCAATGTTATTTCACAGTCCTTCCTCCAGTTGGGCCCCAACTCTTATACTAAGGTCCTGGCAGCTGTGAGGAGAGAATTCTTCTCCAAGGGTGATTTTGGTCTCCCTGACTTTGATCTGTACCCTTTGATTCACTTAGATCAGCACAGCTTCTTGTGCCAGACTCCAGGGCACAGGAAGGACCACACTCTGGTAGGAGGCTGTGAGCTCTTCGGAGCCAGGTCCAACACCTTACTTTTCAGATGAAGGAAGCAGGGACCCAGCCAGAGCCAGAAACTAGCCTAAGGAAGTCCAGCTGGTGTCTTCTGCAGCTCTGTCTGGATGGCCAAACCCTTGGTTATATAACCCACTCTCTGGCCAACAGCCTGGGGTCAGGACCCAGAGGGGAGAAACTCAGGAATGGACTTGTCCTTTTAGAACAGGCTTGGTACAGGCACATTTTCTGCGGCAGGCATCTCCAAATTCTGGGTGCTGTTCCTCTAGAACCCCCAGGTTTATCCCGCTCCTTTCTGGTACCACACAAAGCTGCACATTTGACATGCATCCTCTTGTTTATGTCTCATAAATTCCCATTGTGGTATTTTGGTATTTTTACTACTCCCTTTTAACAGATGATATGGAAATTGGGATGGAGAGGTTAAGTAACTTGTCCAATCCAGACAGTGGTGGACTGGGGTTGGGAACCAAGTTGATGTCATGACCTCAGCTTCATCGTACTTTTGCCATCCTCCTGTAGAGCAACTGGCAGGACAGGGTCCCACTTAAGAGTCCCCCTCAGTCATATCACTCCAGCTTTTCCCATTATACCCAGTCATTCATTAGCACTTTGAGGAGATGGGAAGGAAGGATGTCCCCAAGCTGGAGCTGGGCGGACCTGGGACAGACCCGGGAACAGCAGTGTGTCTGCCTGGATGTGAGGAGGAAGCCTATCTTATACTCTCCATAATCCCCCAGCAAACATGTTCCATTGTTTCCATAGCCACGAAATGTGAGAAATGTGGACCCGGCTACCCTAGCCCTCAGGAGGCCATGAAAGGTAAGTGAGTGGCGTCTTCAAGCAAGTGCCCCACCGCTGATTCCACCACTGTTAGAATTGAGAACCTCAGACCCCAGCCTCTACCCTCAGCACACCCAGTACTGCCCCCACCATCCCTTTCCACCCTACCATCCCCTCTGCCTGTTTTGTACCCCCAGGACCCCGGGAGAAGATTGTCTACCTTCCCTGTATTTACCGAAACACGGGCACTGAGGCCCCAGACTATCTGGCCACAGTGGATGTTGACCCCCAATCTCCCCAGTATTGCCAGGTGAGGCAGAGAGAACACTCTCCCAGCTCTGACTCTGATACTACCCTTCCCCAACTTCATCTTTCTTTGCCCTGCTTGGTGCTTGTGGTACAAACTGTTCACTGCTCAAGGGTGCTCCCATGGGATGCAGGAAGTACTGAAACCCAGCCTGTGCTTTGCTGCCAAGCTGCTGGAGCTGGGGGGTGGGGATGGGGCATTGTCCAAAGGCACACATAGGTGTGGTCATGGTGAGCACCATGTCCTGTCCCCTCATCCCAGGTCATCCACCGGCTACCAATGCCCAACATGAAGGATGAATTGCATCACTCAGGATGGAACGCCTGCAGCAGCTGCTTCAGAGACAGCACCAAGTCTCGTACCAAGCTAGTGCTGCCCAGCCTTATCTCCTCACGCATCTATGTGGTGGACGTGGCCTTGGAACCACGGGCCCCGAAGCTGCATAAGGCACGTTCTCTGTTCTTACCTGCCCAGATACCAGTGTACCTGCTGTTCTGGCAGGAAGCCACCCCTAAGCCAGCTGCTGCCAGTTTTCTTCCAGGATCTGAGCTTAGCAGCAGGGAGGAAGGTCAGCCTTCAGAGGAAAATTACCTAGTAGTACAGGATTGTTTTAATCCAGCGTTGATCCAGTTCTGTGGAGCACCAGAACAGAGCACCAAAGAGGGATTGGTGCTGTTGAGTCAAGTGATTCCAACTCATAGCAATCCTGTAGGACAGAGTAGAACTGCCCTGTAAACTTTCCAAGGCTTCAGTCTTTCTGGAAGCAGCCTGTCACATCTTTTTCCTGTAGAACTGTGGGTAGATTTGAACTATAGACCTTTTAGTTAACAGCCATGTGCTTAAGTACTGTGACACCAGGCTCTCAGAGAACAAACCATCTTTTCAACACTCAGTTATGAGCTCATCACTTCCCTTAGGTTAGAGCTTCTGATCCTTCTTCCTCTAAGCACTTAGTTAATGACCACTGCCTGTCAGGTGACTGCTGTGCTGTGCTAGCCACTGGTGATATAAAGTTGGTGCTGGCAGCTGGCATTTTCCCCACCCAGAAGGAGCTTGTAGTCCACAGGTCTGAGAGGGCCTTCAGGATTTCCACCTAGGAATTATTAATGGTCTTTCTGACTCTCCCTGTGAGAAGTCACCAGACTCATTCTGCCATTTTCCTGTAGGGAGAGTTGTGTTCATGTTTTGATGGAAAAAATTATGGGGTCAGTAGAAAGAAATAGGAGAGTATAGAGATGAGAGTTGGGGGCCTCTAGCCCTGTAAGATTCTGACACCATTCTTTGCTCCTCTACAGATCATTGAGGCCAGTGATATTCATTCCAAGTGTGGCCTGGCTAATCTCCATACTAGTCACTGTCTGGCTAGTGGGGAGGTGATGATCAGCGCTCTAGGAGACCCCAAGGGCAATGCCAAAGGTACTGCGGGCACATTCGTGCTCATGAAAACTTATCTGGGGAAAAAAAAAAAACTTATCTGGGTGAGGAACAAATGCCAAGTGGGGAAAGGGATGAAATGACCTCCCAAGAACAGCCAGTGGCCTGGGTCCCTAATGATATTTAAAAAGTAGTCAAGTCACTTCAATTGTTTGAAATCTTTCTACCTAGGTAAATCTTGACTGATGAATTCAGTTAAAATTTATAATCAGAGCAGTATGCCATAGGGAATGTGGGCACAGACACAGCTCCAGAAAACACATACATTTAATATTGACCTTTGCAAATTCGTGAGCACATCTCACACTCCTTGAGGTATTTTAATATTCTTATTTACTATCTCATTTATGGTGTGATCAGAGCTAATGCTTATATTTACTATGTGCTTGACACAACTGTGAGGTATGTGCTAAATTATAGATAAGTTTGGGCACAGATTGGTTAAGTAACTTACCCAAAGTCACACAGCTGGAATTCAGCCTCAGTAATCTGAATCCAAAGCCTATGTTCTCATCCCCACACACCTGTCAGATTCTAATCTATTTCATCAGAACCTTTCATCCAAGAGTGTTTAGAGTGGAACATCAGTTAGTTAACCAGTTAAGATTATTACACTAATCCCATTTGAGTACTTTGTCTGGGTGATGGGAGGAGCCGGACACTCTAAGATTTAATTGTTGTCGTTGTTATGTGCTGTGGAGTCGGTTCCGACTCATAGCGACCCTGTTTCCAAGACTGTAAATCTTTATGGGAGCAGAATGTCTCATCTTTCTCCCACGGAACAGCTGGTAGTTTCGAACTGCCGACCTTGCGGTTCACAGCCTGATTCGTAACCACTATGCTACCAGAGGTCCTTAATAATCAGCATCGATGGACTCAAATGTGGCAACAATAGTGAGGTTGGCCCAGAATCGGGCAGTGTTTTGTTCTGCTGTGCATAAAGTCATTATAAGTCGGTACCGACTCAATGGCACCTAACAACAACAGTAATCAATATCTGATTGTATTTGCAAAGAAGTGTCAAGGTGTGATGCATACCCAGTAATGGACAACATATTGAATATTAATACTGAATTATAAATAAATACATCTGCTCTACTTAAATATATATATATATATATTTATATATATATATATATATATATATATATATAGTGAACAGAATTGAGTTTTGAATTTAGACTGGGAGGAGGAATTGCACACTGAAAGTGGGAGACCAGGCAAGAGAACTACAGGGTATTGAGTCTCAGAAGATATTTGAGAGTAAGGAAAGGAAAATTTCCCCTGTGGTCTGAGAGAGAGATGAAGCTGATGGGTGGTAGGAATACCAGAAAAGAGCCCCTACTGACCACCTCTAGTTAGGACCCTTTGACACCCGAATTTAATGTATCCTTTTGGATATGTGGTGCTGTGGATTAATGCACTGGACTGCAAAGTTGGTTTGAACCGCAAGGTCAATGGTTCAAGCTCACCAGGAGCTACTTGGAAACCCTATACAGAGTCTATGTGGGTTGGAACCAGCTTCATGGCACTTAACAGCAGCTTGGATTTACCTAGGGGTGAGGATTGGAGGGATAGTGTCTCTATTCTTCCCCTAGCCATATTACTTCCTTCCTTGCTCAGGGGGTTTCGTACTGCTGGATGGAGAGACATTTGAGGTGAAGGGGACATGGGAGAAGCCTGGGGGTGCTGCACCCATGGGCTATGACTTCTGGTACCAGCCTCGACACAACGTCATGATCAGCACTGAATGGACGGCTCCCAATGTCCTACGGGATGGCTTTAACCCTGATGATGTGAAAGCTGGTGAGAAACCTCCCATGGGCCAGCAGGAGCCTTAGACCCTTTACCTTCTGCTTGCTGCTCCCAAATCCCTGATTTCCCTCATATAGACCCCAAACTCTTGGGGTCCAGGTATAGGATGTGCTAAATGCTCTGGCCAGCTCCAACATCTTTCTGATTCCCCCCAACCCACTTTCAGCTTTCTCCTGTGGTCTGTGCCCCTGCCTTTGCCCATGCTGTCACCCTCTCTGATCCTGAGCCCCACCCTAGGGCTCTACGGAAGCCACTTACACGTGTGGGACTGGCATCGCCATGAGATCGTGCAGACTCTGCCACTGCAGGATGGCCTCATCCCCTTGGAGATCCGCTTCCTGCACAACCCAGACGCCACCCAGGGCTTCGTGGGCTGTGCCCTCAGCTCCAACATCCAACGCTTCTACAAGAATGAGGTGACACGTGACACATGCCCCCTGGCCCTCCCCTCCCAGAAGTCCTCTTTGCATTTCTGCCCAGGCTTCTGTAATGATACAGGGAACTACCTTCCCTCTCCCTAGGAGAGACCCAGCTCCCATCCCCTGGCTTCAGCTGCTCAGACTCCTCTGGGAGAAAAAAAAAGAAGGCACAGATTCTGTGCCTCTTCTCCCAGTAAAATTTCTACAGGAACCCTAACTGTACATTCATTAAATAAATATTTAGTGAGCTTCTACTACGCACTGGACACTGTGCTAAGGGTTTGGAAGACAGTAGAGAAGCAGACATAACCACTGTCTACAGGCTTGCCTAGGAGTTAAACCTTAGTAACAAGAAGACCCTGCATTTGCTGTCTCCCTTTCCAGGTTTGGGGGAAATCCAGATATGACCCCCTATTCCCCAACTTGGCTGTTTCACCTCTCTGCCTCCTAACCCCACCCTTAATCTCCCAATGCAGGGAGGTACTTGGTCAGTAGAGAAGGTGATCCAAGTGCCCCCCAAGAAAGTAAAGGGTTGGATGCTGCCTGAAATGCCAGGTGAGTGGCCAGGGGAGGGTGGGAATTGACAGGGATAATACCTAGCCTGAGAAAGAAGAGTCCTTAACGCCTCCAAACACTCCCATGCCCAGGCCTGATTACTGACATCCTGCTGTCCCTGGATGACCGCTTTCTGTACTTCAGCAACTGGCTTCATGGGGACCTGCGGCAGTATGACATCTCTAATCCAAAGAAGCCTCGCCTCACAGGACAGGTGGGGCCCTAGCAAGATGGGAAGTAAGGGAGGGAGCAGGGAGGTCCAGAGTCTGTGGGTGCACTAGAGAAGATGAAATGGGAGGAGGATAATAAAGGGAGTGTGGGAAAAGCAAAAGTGAGGACTAAGGGATGGGGTAACCCAGGAGGGTGGGGGCTATGGCTAGCCATGTGGAACATGTCTGAAAGGAATGAAGGTATCTGGATGAGGCAAGCTCCTTTTCCTGTAATGTTGACACTTCCTACTACTGTCCTCCATCCAGGTGTTCCTGGGGGGCAGTATTGTTAAGGGAGGCCCTGTGCAAGTACTGGAGGACCAGGAGCTGAAATGCCAGCCAGAGCCCCTGGTGGTCAAGGTGAGTCCCCTCCTCTTACTCATAATCCATGATGGGTCCCTGATTGAGGGGTTTGGGAGACAGGGAGTTGGACAGCATCTGAGCATGCTCTCAGGTAGGAGTTGTACCTATGATCCCTCCTAGGGATCTGTGCATTACCCTGGGGTCTACCCCTGATTTTCCCAAGGGGAAGCGTGTGGCTGGAGGCCCCCAGATGATTCAGCTTAGCCTAGATGGGAAGCGTATCTACGTCACCACATCGCTGTACAGTGCCTGGGACAAGCAGTTTTACCCTGATCTCATCAGGTGAGAAGCAAACACTTTGGACTCCCCCCGCCAACCCTACTCTACTAGAGGAGTCATCTGGTTTTTTGAAGGCTCCTCAGAAGCCCCACAGTCCCCTACCATAGAGAGAGATGCTTCACACCCTGCTGTCTCCTCAGTACCTGACTCTTGTACTCACTATCTTATGAGAAGATGGCAGCCACTCTGACTTATCTCTTACCTCCTCCTCCTTTTCCACCAGGGAAGGCTCTGTGATGCTGCAAATTGATGTAAACACAGTACAAGGTGGCCTGAAATTGAATCCCAACTTCCTGGTGGACTTTGGAAAGGAGCCTCTTGGTGCAGCCCTGGCCCATGAAGTCCGTTACCCCGGAGGAGACTGCAGCTCTGAAATCTGGATCTGAAGTTTATTCCTCATCACTTGTCACACATTCTGAGCCCTCATTTTTAGGTCTCCACAGGGATCTGGCATCAATCTCCTCCCTCTTGGCCCCAACACTACAGAGCGTGTGCTCCCAACGCTGAACTCAGGCTGTTTTAGTATATTAGCGGTGTCTTCTTTTACTGACCCCTGTTATGTGTCATTCACTGTGCAGTATCACTCACATGAGCTCTTGGAAATACCAAGAAATAAACGGTGAATCTGGTCCTCCACTCCTTTGGCTTTGGGGCCTGGGACTTATGATTCCATTTCTGCTGGCCCTTTGTGTCTTGAATGAGAGGTTGTGGTGACTAGTTTCTACCAGTGGTTACCACATAATGATAATGGTGCCAAAAATTCACTTTTGTGGGTAAATATAGCCTGAAAGAAGTAGGTCTGGTAGCATAGTGGCTTACAAGTTGGGCTGCTAACTACAAGGTCAGCAATTTAAATCTACCAGCTAGCTCCATAGATGAAATATGAGGCTTTCTGCTCCCATAAGGATTTACAGCTTTGGAAACCCTCTACAGGATCACTATGAGTCAGAACCAACTCCACGGCACACAACCACCATAACCTGAAAGATTTGCCTCTCAGTAAATTAGGTTGACTTGAAAACATTATGCGGAGTGAAATAAGTTACAAGGGGACAAATAGTATATGATTCCACTTATTTTAAATATACCCACTCCTCACTTACCAACATGTTATTGTTGTTGCTGTTAAGTGCTGTCAAGTCGACTCCCGATGCATAGCAACCCTGTATAGGATGCATAGCAACCCTGTATAGGGTTTCCAAGGAGAAGCGGGTGAGCTTAAACCGCCGACTTTGCAGTTCAAACAGCTTTGCAGTCTGGCGCATTAACCCACAGCACCACACCAGGACTCCAACATGATTAGGTCCCAAAGACTAATTTGTTATTTGAAAATAGGCATTATGTGAAAATAAAGGATGTCCACATCAGATCAAACAAGGGAAGATGATTACATCAATGCCAAATTATATGATTATATAACTGCCAAACCACTGAGAATTATGGCTCAGAAAAGTTGACACAACTTTCATCATCACAACCAGCATCAGGATCACCTCATACCTTAGCATTCATTTTCTGTAGCTATACATTGTTAATGCACAATGTACATTATTTACTATTATTGTAAATGTGAAATGTCAGATGATGAGATAGTTGGCAAGTGAGGAATAGGTTTCTCTTGAATAGATAAGTATACAGACACCAAAGTTTATTAGTAATTATTAGGGGTATGTGGGAAGGAGGGGAAAAGCAGGCAGCTGATCGCTCTCAGCAACCAATGCAGGACTGTTCTGCACACACACCTTTCATGCTGCAGTTGAAAAGCCCTGTTTCCTCCAAACGCAGAATAGACATAGAAATGGAGTTGGCCAGGTGCCATATAACACACACAAAAACAAATTATAGAGGAAGCTTACTGTGTACCCAAAAGAGAGAGGGAGGCTCCCAATAAGGAGAAGAAATTGAGACAGAGAAAGAGGCACTGTTCCCAGTTCCATTATCAGAGACTATTTGAGGCCCAAGGCTGGATTAGGCGGCCTGCGTGAGATATGCAAGGACCACAGCAAGCAGTCCTCCTATATCCTGTACTTTGTTGATCCTAACTTGAATATAACAATGAGGATTTTTTTTTTTTTTTTTAGAAAATTTGAACACTAGTCTAATGATAACTTTTAATTTTTTAAGTGTGATAATGACATTGAGATTATGTTTTTTTTAAATAGGTTTTTATTCAAATTGAAGTATTTACTGTAAATACTTAAGTATTTACAGATGAAATGGATCATGAATTTTGGCAGTAAAATAGCCTAGATGGGTGAATTGGAGAGTGGAGAAGGTATAGAGAGAACAAGATTGACCAAGCAGGATGCCAGGTGTGCCAGGTGTGTGCACATAGGGTTCACTATACTATTATTTCGCCTTTTGTACGTTTGAAATGTTCTCATAATAAAAATAATTTAAACCCTGTTTACATTCTTTGTGACCCTAACCTTTTCTCAGTATGGTGGTGGTGGTTATGTGCCATGGAGTCGGAACCGACTCATAGCGACCCTGTATGTATGACCCTATATCACTGAAACAGACACTCCAAAAGCAAGAAATTCCTTCCTATCACAAATAACACAAGCACCAGCGATCTGTGATCCAATCATCACCAACCCATTAAACCCACCCTGACAAGACCTCTCTCTGCTGCAATAATGAAAATTCCACCCCACACCCCAGCACCAGGTTGTTGTTAAGAGTCATCGAGTCGGTTCTGACCCATAGCAATCCTGTACAAGGTTTCCAAGAAGTGACTGGTGAAGTTGAACCACCGACCTTGCAGTTCAAACTGACTTTGCAGACCAACGCATTAACCCATATTGCCACACCAGGACTCCAGCACCAGAATGTTGTTGTTAAGTGCCATAGAGTTGATGCCAATCCATAGCAAACCTATGGTTTCCAAGGAGCAGCTGGTGAGCTTGAACCACAGACCTTGTAGTTCAAATGACTTTGCAGTCTGACACATCAGGCGACAGTGCCACACCAGGAGTCCAACACTAGAATGTTGTTGTTAGGTGCCATCGAGTCGGTACTGACTTACAGTGACATGAGAACGAAACATTGCCTGATCCTGGGCCAACCTCACTACTGTTGCCACACTTGAATCCATCCATGCTGCCACTTGGCCAATCCATCTCATTGGGGGTACTTCGTCTTTTTCTCTGACCCTCTACCTTACCAAAGATATCCTTCTCCAGCGACTGGTCCCTCCTGACAATATGTCCGAAGTATGAGAGATAAAGTTTAGCCATGTTGGCCTCCAAGGAGCATTCTGGCTGCACTTCTTTCAAAACATTGTGAAGTATGAGTATCCAGAACACTTAATTGTGTTCATGAGGAATCTGTACATGGACCAAGAGACAGTTGTTCAAACAGAACATGGGAACACTGAATGGTTTAAAATTAAGAAAGGTATGCGACAGGGTTGTATTCTTTCACCATACTTATTCAACCTGTATGCTGAGCAAATAATCTGAGAAACTGGGTTCTATGAAGAAAAATGTGGCATCAGGATTGGAGGAAGACTCATTAACAACCAGTGATATGCAGATGATACAACCTTGCTTGCTGAAACTGAAGAGGACTTAAAACATTTACTGATGAAGATCAAAGAGGACAGCCTTCTGTATGGATTACATTTCAATGTAAAGAAAACAAAAATCCTCACCACTGGACCAATAAACAACATTCTTATCAACGGAGAAAAGATTGAAGTTGTCAAGGACTTCATTTTTCTTGGATCAACTATCAACACTCACGGAAACAGCAGTCAAGAAATCAAACAACGTATTTCATTGGGAAAATCTGCTGCACAAGACCTTTTTAAAGTGTTGAACAGCAAAGATGTCAACTTGAGGACTAAGGTGCGCCTGACCCAAGCTATGGTATTTTCAATAACCTCATATGCACACAAAAGCTGGACAGTGAATAAGGAAGACCATAGAAGAATTGATGCTTTTGAGTTATGGTGTTGGAGGAGAATATTAAAAGTTCCATGGGCTGCCAAAAGCACCAGAATTGTTGTTGTTGTTATTGTTAGGTGCCATCGAGTCAGTATCGATTCATAGCAAGCTTATGCACAGCAGAACGAAACACTGCCTGATCCTGGGCCACCTCACTACTGTTGCCACGCCAACTTTGCAGTTGAACCCCCAACTTTGCAGTTCAAATGGCTTTGCAGTCTGGCGTATTAAACCACAATGCCACACCAGGACTTCAAGCACCAGAATGTTGTTGTTGTTGTTAAGTACCGTGGAGTCGGTTCCGACTCACAGTGACCTTGCACAGTTTCCAAGGCTGTAAATCTGTACGGGAGCAGAACGCCTCATCATTCTCCCGTGGAACCACTGATAGTTTCAAACTGCCGACCTTGAGGTTAGCAGCCTGATTCCTAACCACTACACTACCAGAACACCTAAGCACCAGAATGTTGTTGTTGTTAAGTGCCGTGGAGTCAGTTCCAACTCATAGTGACCCTGCACAGGGTTTCCGAGGCTGTTAATCTTCACGGAGCAGAACACCTCCTCTTTCTCCTGCAGAACAGCTGGTAGTTTCGAACAGCTGACCTTTTGGTTCACAGCCCGATTTGTAACCACTACGCTACCAGAGCTAGAAGGACAAAAATAGCAGAGGTGGAAAAGTCTAACCTATCACCTATGATCTTTGGTTAGCACCATGGCTAGCTCCATCAGTTGGTTGATTAGCCGATCTAAAAGGTTCTAGAGAGTTTGGCAAGCTCAGAAACACCCCAAGAGAAGATATACACTCCCAATCTATGAGGTCAAGAGACATTAGCAAGTATTAGGAGGTGTCCACCCCATTCTTGGTCCTGTAAGCATACTTAACTTTCCCATACGCTGCAATTCAGTAAATATTTAAAGGCAACTTCAAGCAACTACACTTATCTCAGGAAATTAGTGAGGATCATCCTCCTTACATTCCTTCCTCCCTACTTGCATATGTTCTGTCAAAGGTTTAATTTCCTGGTTCCATGCCTAAATATCTGCCCCTGGCCATCTTCTGGCATGTTATTAGGAGTTCTTTCCCTGGCTAACTGATTTTGATGCTTACTTTGACTCTGTCTTAAATAATGCCTGACTTAGAAGAATATATGAACACAGTATTAAGAGAGAAAAATAAGTTTCAGTTATGAGTTATGTGTACAAAAAAATATTATAACCCCATTTTAAAAAGAAAAATGCAAGCACAATCGCAGCAAAAAGATCTGCCTATTTAAATGGACAAGGAGATCTGGTAGTATAGTGGTTACAAATAGGGCTGTAAACCTTAAGGTCAGCAGTTCGAAACTACCAGCTGCTCCATGGGAGAAAGATGAGGCTTTCTGGTCCTGTAAAGTTTTACAGCCTCGGAAACCCTGTACAGGGTCGCTATGGGTCGG